CCCTTCTAGTAATAGGCTTTAAGTGGGGTGTTTCCTCCTCCTCTACTAAAATTTCCACCTCCCGTCTTCTCTCAACATCTCATCTTCCTGATTTCTTCTTGCTCCCAGCAAAACCTCTTTAGTAAGATGCTCCAACACCCGCTTCATCATTTCTTCCATGTTCCAAAACCTTACTTCTATCACTGAAATACATTCATTTATTGATCTCACTTCCACTCATAGTTACCCTACTTCCCCCTCCAACCTTTCTTCCAATGCTTCAACTCTTTTTCCAACCATTGGTAAAGGATTTCCCAAATTAATTAGGAAAGGATCTCATTAGGAAAGGATCTCCTAATTCAACCCCCTTTCTAATATATCTCCCTCTTTAATTTGAAAATAATTCAATTAGGAAATAATCTCATTTAGAAAGGTTTCCCTAATTGATTTCTTCCTAATATAATGTATTAATTCACTGCTGAGCCCCACCCCTTTAACCTCCTTTCTTGCCTTATACAAACAACCCTGTCGTATCAGATAGGCCCTCTTAAGTAATGGCGAAAGAACTAACAAGGGAAGCCTATACTCTTGAAATTCAAAAAGTTAAGAATTCGGATCCAACCTTAAATGAGATAGCAGCTTCAATTATAAAAGTTGGGAATTCGGACCCAACCTTTAGAAAGTTGGAATGGTGCATAAGCCTATGATCATCATATAACTTGTACTATGGTATAAACAGTAAACAAGACAGAAATTGATGTTATGCATTTCTTATGACCAGTAAGAAATTTGCATGTGTTTTAAATCAATTCTCAATGTATTATTATTAGTTTTTATGCATTGCTTGCGTAATTCATTAGCTCTATCTCATTAGTAGTGGTTGTATTGCAAGCAAGGAGAATGAGCCAGTAGGGTAGTAGTCAGGACAGTTGACTACTCTTTTGTATACATACACTTTTTGGGTATATCAGAGTAAGAGTTATACAGACATTTAGGTACGTAAACGAATTTTAAAAGTTTGAGTAAAGCTCTATATTTCAATTGAGAAGTGCATTTTATTTAAGATATATTATATATGCTTCCTGATATGAAGTATAAAGCTTGATATATTATCATATGTTAGGATATTCTGAATAGACTACTCTTACTCCCCAATTCTAATAGAGATATTTTAGAATAGGTGTTAGTAATGAGTTCTATTAAGATTCTCCTTTTCTGTTTCACTCAAGATTGACTATAAGAGGGTCAAATGGGATGTGACAATGTTCATCATCAAACAAAAAATTAATGATGAAGTATAAACAATTATAAAAAAAGTATTCTTCGTTAATGGCAAGCCCTTGAATAATGTGGGCATTTAAGATATGGCAATCAAGGCAACAAATGAAAATACTTAGAAAATAACAAACTCTGGCACATCTCTAGATTACGGAGAAACTTATGAAACTTATCTATATTGGGCAACTAGCTGTGAAAGGGCGTTATGCCACTTTCAAAGCCAAAACTTGGAAAATAATGAAATGCACCTTAGTAATTACTTATGCAACAAGATGGACACTCTTTACACCGCCATCAACACAAGAATAGCTAGAGCTAACAATAATGTAGAAGCAGAGGCAAATTCAAATATATGCATCAAAGACTAGACATGTGAACGCAAAAAGTAAGAAGGTTTCACATACGAAAGATAAATTTCCAAGTTTGAAGTCAAATGAATCCCTATTAAGCAAAGAATATTTTTAGGCAAATAAAGGAAGGTCGATTTCTCCAATAGTAGAGAAAATTAAAGGTCAAAAGGTGAGAGTTGGTGCATAGAGATATATGGGGCCATCTCTCATCACTTCTCTAATATGATCATTGTACTACATCTTCACAGATGATAACATTTAAAAGATAAGAGTTTTTTATAAGAAAGTAAACATGGTGTTTTCACAAAAGTGAATTGATAAAGTCTAATTTATGATGAGACTGAAGATAAAATTAAGTACCTTTGATAAAAAAATGATGGGTATGACACCCCAAAATTCAAAAACAAATGCAATTGCATACAATGTATATGGAACAAACAATCACTTGAACTCAATAAAATGGAATGGCAAAAAAGATTGAGAAAAACTCTCAATGGATATAGAGAAGCATGACACTGCATCCATGTCATCCCAAGATCTTTTGGGCAAATGCAATTAACACAATAGCATATATGATAAAACAAGGACCAATAATTGCATTCAACTTTGGGCTTCCTGAAGAAGCAACGACAGATAAGGAGGTGTATTTATCACACTTGAAGATTTTTTGTCACCTATTATATATTTGTGTATATCATATAGACAAAGATAACCTTAATTGAGAATCAAAGAATTTCTATTATAGATTTTGGAGAGTGAATTACCATGAGTAGAAATAATATCTTCAATAAATGTGTCATACATAGGTCAAGCTCTATCATAAAAGACACCTCCAATTCAAAGCACTATGAACTAAAGGACCCATCTAGAATAAAAACATGAAACTTAAGAGTAACCTAAGCCCGGTACACATGTGGCCTGAATGGCTAAATCATAAGATCACAAAGAACTCACCAGTCAACTAAAAGTTATTCTCTTTTTCTTTATTGTATGTTACAAATGCAACAAAGCCCAAATAATAAAAAAGTAATTCAGGCAAAAGATTATGTTAAGTTGGCACTTAACATAAAAGAAGAGAGAAAATCTTTTTATAAGAGCAACATCTAAGCACTGACCAAACTGCCCAAAGATAAGAAGTTAAAAATTTGATATACATAATGAAGAAAGAGAATGTGAGAACCAAAAGCTACAAGAAAAAGTTTGATGCAAAGGATTTCCAACAAAAATAATATATAAATATTCTCTCTTATAGTTAAACTAATGAATACTCATCTATTATCAAGAATTGCAACAACACTATCTATACCTTAAACAAATGGAGATTAAAACAGCTTTCCTCCGTTGTGATCTAAAGGAAGACAGCTACATGGTACAAAACAAAAGGCATTGTTGAACCTGAAAAAAAAAGTCTTATACAAGTTAAATAAAAGCCCTTATGGCTTGAAATGAGTACCTCACCACTGGTACTAAAAGTTCAATAGGTTCATGCACAAAATCAAACTCTACAAATGCAACAAAAGATCATTGTTTTCTAACAAATGAATATGAGAACATTACATTTCTTTGTTATTGCATGTGAATGAAAAGATAATTATAGAGGATGGTATTGAAAATATTAATGATCTAAAAAGACAGCTATCAAAATAGTCTGATATGAAAGATCTTGGATAAGCCAAAAATGCTCTCAAGATGAGAATAGAATGCAATAAGGCTGCATATACATTAAATCATTGACAAACACAATGTCTCAATAAGGTGTTAGAAGGTTCAATAGCAAAAGCAAAGCTTGTAAGTACATGCTCATTAGCCACACCTAATTATCTAACTAACATAATCAAAAAGCTAATAACAAAAAGAAGCACATTGTCAAAGTCCCTCCTTTATGCCTTAGATGTTGGATCACTTACGTATGCAATGGTCTGCATAAGATCAAGTATTACACAAGCAATGGGAGCTGTCAACAGATTCATGTGCAATCCGTTAAACAAACATTAGAAGTTACGAGGTGGATATTGCACTATCTATAAGATGCAATCGTTCATTACCTAAAGTTTAAAAGAACTAACTTAAAATTTATACGGCCATATTGACTTGAATCTAGGAGAATACCTAAATACAATGAGAAGTACCACCCAATATATCTAGTATTTCGGTGACATCAATATAATTTGAGTGTCACAACTTCAAAAGATAATTGCAACATCAACCCCATAAAATGAATGTCATAAAAGCCAACAACGAGATGTTTTTCTTAAAAGGTTTCTAAAGAACTCAACAAATCACAAAAAAGCATCACTATTTTGCAACAGCTAAAGCATTTTTATTTGGCCAAGAATTCTAAATTCCACTCCTAAACAAACACGTATAAATCAAGTACCATTACATACATAATTTGCTTGGAGTTGGTGCTTTAAAGCTTATTAAGATTAAGGGGTAAAAAATCTCATTAATATGCTCACAAAAGTAGTACAAGTAGAAAATTTGAGGCTTTATGAAGCCTTAGTTAATCTTCATCAATTATGGTTTGGAGGCACCACACACAAAGGTGTTTGAACACATATCATTAAATATATTAAAAATTTATCTCTAAATGAGAGATTGTTAAAATTAAGGCTCTCTCTTAAAATTAAGGCTATCTCTTATCAAATATTTATAAGATATGATTGAGATATCATATTTATTGCAAATATTTAACTGAAATTTTCAAAGATGGAGTCAATTTTTTGAGCTATGAGATATTTTGTTTACTTTAAGATATATTATGAAATATGCCTACAATTATTGGTCATCAAACCCATATTTTTCGCCATTATAATAGATTGTGAGAAGAAGGGGTTTGGCATCACATAATTACAAGCAATTCAAAAGTGGAAAGCAAGATAGGGGAGAGGGGTTGTCAACTGACAAAGGAAGAAATTTTTATAGTTACAAAAGGGAGATTTGTCAACTACTTCAATAACAAACATGTGCTATTAATTTTTGTTCAATAAACAAAATCAAAGTTTTCCGTCATAATAGGAAGAAACCCTTGCAATTGAGAAGGAAAAGAGCAAAAACATCATCTTCTCTAAATTCAATATCAACAAAACTTAGCTAAAGCGAGGAATGCCATTGTAAATGCCTTTGCTATCATATATCCATGCAGCTTCCAAAGCCTTGCAGGCTATTGCATAGAGGAAAGGGAGATCAAAATGCTTTTGAGAACTTTCAAGAATTAAAAAATGATTGCTAGCCACACTTCCTCACAATGGTCGGACTAAACTAAAGAAGTAGGAATTAGAGTATACTGCATGTTTCGAACAAAATTTTCTTGATTTTCAGCAAGATTCAGTTAGCATCAGGCATCCTGTTAGAACAATGCTTTGTTAAAAAATAAATTGATAGAAAACATACATCCTTCTTTGATATTGTTTATCAAGCCTCCTATCCAATTCCCGCCTTGCTTCAGATTGTTTCTCAAGACGGTCAATGGCAAAAGATGACTTCTCACTTTCAATTTTCTGAGACAGCTCCAAAGAAGATAGCTTACTCCTAAGTTGCTCCTAAAGTTAAGAGCAATGGTGTTAGCCATTTACAAGCAACCATATCATGCATACTCAGTTGAAATAAAAAAAAATTGCATCGATAGAATAAAAACATTAACAAATGCAAAACAAGTTGGCTTAGAGATCAAAGGTGCTAACACACAGATAGGTAACTTAACTTATTAATGAACAATCTAATTATAGTGACTGTATGTTAGCACAGTAGTCCAAAGCAAAGGAAATAGTTTTCAATAACAGAAGCAGCACATCTTTGGTTCTACTTCAACGTTGAGCGTTATAATTATCTAGTAGTTCTAACTACTAAAGGAACGGAAGATCTATTATGGTTTCTCATTTTGGTTGCCTGAGCGTTATAATTATCTAGTAGTTCTAACTACTAAAGGAACGGAAGATCTATTATGGTTTCTCATTTTGGTTTCCAGATAGGTGAAAAGAAAGAGCATTCAGGGGTGCACAAAATTCATAGGGTAATATCATTTTTGTTCTGTAGTGATGCATGATGGAGACAGCACTACAACATCAAGCGGTAAAGTTTTGGGCAAAACAAAACTAGCATAAGCAAGTATCAATATATAACAGACTTAAAAGCAAGTCCCTTAGTTATTTAAGTTGTCATCCGCACACAAATGCACATGCATTAACATACAGTGCAAACACATAAGCATTTAAAAATGCATGATAATTCATGTGGTGCATATGCATAAGCAAATAGACAAATTAAAATATTATGGACACTATAAACATCCTTCATAATAGATATTACCAGTAAGTCGCAAAAAAAAAAATTCTTATTATTGGTGAGAACTCTGTAATTTTTTTAAACTTTTTATGTACCACAAAACATTTTTACAAAAAAGTTACTCATAAATTGTTTCCAATCAGCGCAAGTAATTAACTGCAACACTTTAGCCTTATGCTTGAACAATAGGAGCACAATGTTCCCAGAGATGTGCCAACTAAATGCTTCTAGAAAACTATCAAACTATTTGGTAAAAAATAATTAATGTAATTAAAGATGAAACAGAAAGTAATATGAGAAGCAGCATAGATAAATTTAGTATGACCAATGAAAACATAGCCAAAACTAAGAAAAACAAGTTCTGTTGAATTTACAATGGCAGAATCAATCAACTTTTCCAAGGTAACAAACACACCTTAACCATAAGTTGATGTTCACTTTCAAGCTCACATAGTACACCTTCTTCCACACTTTTCTTTTCCATGAGAAGAGATGGAGCTGATTTCTCATGCATTTCATCATCAGTTTCATCAGACTCGCTAAAACATGTAAGTTAAAGAAAAATTTTATAAGCATATATACACATAAAGACAAAATCATGTTTACATACACAAAAAATATGAATGTATAAATTGAGTAATATATTTCCAGATACGTGATAATCCAAACATCTTTCTTAATGTATTCAATGTTTAGAAAAGATTGAGGGCACACCTCAGGTAAACATCAGGACAATTAAATCGTGTGCCAGTAGTTAGCCTATAGGAAGTAGTTTCATCCTCACTTCCTGATTCCTGGGCATCATCATCAGTGATGCGCATAACAAAAGGCTTATTACTTCCCATCTCCTTCATTTCAGGAAAGCAACTGAAATAAAAGCTAACTCATGAGAGGTAAACAAAGTAAAAAAAAATAAAAAATCCAAAACAATCTATCTAAGTGATCACAAATTTAATGGCTTGGACATTCATACATCGAGTCATATTTCTTCAAAGGGGAGGGGACCGCATTTTGAGCTCCAAGTTGCTTCTTCAATGAATTCAACTGTGATAAAAGATCATCCAAAGTCCAAAGAGGCTCTGGATCAGCTGAAGTTACCATAGCCGCATTATTTGGGCAACGAAGTTCTAATTTAACATACCCCCTGAAAAAAAGAAAATGAACAGGTAACTATGAGATAGAAAAAATTGGGTGATTAACAAAATTTCCATCAGGGACAGGAAAACGTGGCTTACATGGCTGAATTATATCTCAAAAAACTATGGTTCTGTCTCTGAATGAATCTAAGTTCTTACTCTTTCTGGCCTCCAAAATCGTCCCAGAACATAAAAGCGGTCTGAAAACAACAATAACAACAAAAATATAAAATTGGGACCACACGTCAAGTTTTTTATAAGCATATAAGGCATTCATCACACAAAATGATACTCGTGTAATAGAATGTTCATGGGCTATTTGGTATCGGATTTACAGCCGGATTTAAGTTTAAGTCGGATTCAAGCTAAATCCAGCCAAACGGTTTTTGTGCGCGCGTTAAATCCCGGCGATGGGTAAATCTCGGATTTGAAGATTTAAGGCTTAAATCCCGTATTAACTAAATCCCTCGGTTTGGCGGATTTATGGGATTTGGCCGAAGAAGCGCGCGAAAGGGGAAGTTACCTTCACAGCCAGCGAGCTCCAGTTGTTGCTTCCGATCAAAATGTCGTAACTTCCGATCCGACCGGAAGGAAAAGTCGTCGAAGGAGCGAAGTCGAACAGCCCGAAGGAGCCGAAGAAGCGACTCGTGCAATCTCTACACCTCCTGCGAAGCAACGAAGCCGAACAGCGATGACGAAAAGAAGCAAACCCTAGACGACTCAGTTATTGTTGATTAACTTAATCAATATAATTTAAAATATTAATAATTAAGTAAATTGATTAAATAATTAATATTATAATTAGTGCATAAATTAATTATATTAATTAACTTAATTGAATAACTAGTAATTAAATATTAATGTAATTAGCTTAATTAATATAACTTGAAATATATATAATTAATTATATAATTAATTATATAAATAAAAATTAATGAGTAACTTGTACTTCATATTTTTTTAATTCATAACATATTAATTTTTATTTATAATTATAAATTTATTTTTTAATTTATATTTATCTTCTTCACATTTAAATACTTATCTAGTCATAAACCTTGAAATATATTACCAAAAAGTTTTTTAAGATTTAACATAATTTAATATTTATCATATCAAACAATTTTTCAGGATTTAACATCCCATAATTTATTAAATATGGATTACTAGTTGCCAAACAGCCCCTCAAAGAATCATCTAAAATTTCAACATCCTAACACATCTCAGAGTCCTCGGCATTATTGGAGATCGCTCTCCTACTTTCTCCCCATCAATTTTCACTCATCCAGATCCCAGCCACTAAATTCCTTCCCTCACTTTCTCTCGTATCTAACCACAAACCACTCTTCACTCTCACTTTCGCTCGTTCCTAACAGCTTAAACACACAAGAAAATAAAGCATTTTATCAATTAAATAAAGCAAATTGCGAAAAATTCACAGCTACTATTTTAGGGCGGTTTGGTGGCAAAATTTAACCGAGATTTAGTCAAGATCTAGGTTAAATCACGCAAACAGTTTTTAGAGCAGTTAAAACTTACATTGTGCTAAACTACGCTTCTTCCATCGTTTTAAGATTTAATGCAATATGTGAAATCCTTAGGGGTTGTTTGGCAACGGAATTTATACATGATTTTAGCAGGATTTAGCCAAAACGGATTTGAGAGCTCCGTAAAACTAACTTATTCACGTGAAGCCTTCAATCTTCACTTCATTGTGAAGTACGCGAGGTCGAAGCAGCAGCTAAAGAAATGGCGACTAGGAAAAGCAATAGTAACGAAAAAAGGGAGAAGATGAAAAGCAAACCCTAAACGTATTCGATCTAAATTAGAAATTAATACAAGTTAGCATAATTTAAATAACTTAAATTATTAATAATTAATTAAATTAATTAAATAATTAGTAATCAAACTTAATTTAATTATATATTTAGAAGTAAAATTAGTAATAAAAAATAAATAAAAAGTTTAATTATTATAATTTGAAAGAGAAATAACTATTATCTAATTAACATTATTGATATATCATTAAAAAATTATCTCGATGTAAAATTAAGTTGGAAATTTTTGAAATATAATTTGGGACCATCCGAACTCCGATTTTAGCAACTTATAGTCAAACTAAACATCTCGAAAAGACAAACCCAATGACACTAAGTCGTCTCAATCTGAGCCCAAATGGGTCCAAATTGAAGACTCAAAGCATCTTTGGAAAGTTCCAAGCATAAATTGAATGAACAAACAATTTTTGAATGTGATATGCTTATAATCGAATCGAGCGCCTTAACGAGATAAATCCAACGAGTCCAAGATCATTGAATTCTGACATCATTAAGGAATTTAACTTCCCAGTAAACAGTCTACGATCAAGGGGATCAACATCGGTCATCCATTCAAACAACTATCAAATTACCCTTGATCTCCCTCCAATTTACTAGCCAAGCCACTCTCATAAAATTATAAATAGATTCCTCATTCTTCATTGAAGGGGAGAGGTAGGGGAAGCCGTGAAGAGAAGGAAGAAAGAGAGAGAGAGAGAGAGAGAGAGAGAGAGAGAGAGAGAGAGAGAGTTCTCTTGCCACCGGACTCCTCAATAACCTACCGTCGTCGAACTATCGTCAGATTTCTGCCTGGCCACCTACTGATGCAGGACTTCCACCCGACTATCGACTAACATCGGACTTTTACCCAGCAATTGACTGACATTGGACTTCTACTCAACCATTAAGTGACACTGAACTTCTATTTGGCCACCAACTGTTGACGGACTATTGTCGAACTTACTCTTAGTCACCAATTATCACCTTACTTCCTGCCAAAACCCATCGCCAGACTATGGTCTTTCTGACCTCTATCACACGCCAACTATGATCCTTCCGATCTATCACTTGACTATAGTCTCTTCGACCCCTATCGCAGCTAACTACGATCTTTCGAACTTACGTCGCTAGAAAATGGTAGTTTTGAGCTTCGTCGCTCGCTGACTACGATCCTTCTGACCTCTATCGTCAAACAATGGTCTTTCCGACCTCCGTCACTCACCTACTATGGTCCTTCTGACCTTTGTTGCAGACAATAGTCCTTTCGACCTCAGTCGCCTACCGACTACGTTCATTCCGACCATCGTCGCCAGACTACGTCCTTCAAACCTTTGTCACCCACAAGCTATGGTCATGATAACTAAGGGAATATGTCAATATTGATTATTCCAATTCCTAAAATATAATGCACCCTAAATGATGTATATTTGCTACATTAAGCCATGGTTTTCCTCCTAAGGGCCTCAATTGTAAACACTAGTGCATTCATTCAAATTGGGCCAGACCTCGTAGTTTTTCCTCCTTTTTAGGAGTTTACACATAAAAACTATGGTGTCTCTTATGCACACCATAGTTTATCTGATTAGATGTTGGATCTTCGTAAAAAGCTAAGACATGAAACATTATATTTCTCTATCGATGTAAATATTCTAGGACACAATAGTTTAGCATCGTGTGTGAGAATATGGTTCATAACTAGGGGTAAATTTTTGCTCCAACATCAAAAGCAAACCCTAAAAGGTTATTTATGCTAATATCTTGACATCAGCCAATTACTATATCAATTTCATAAGAATTAGATGCAGACTGGGGACAACTTTGACTTCAACCGTAGTCAAGAAGATTCCTCCAACACATCCAACATCTAAGATGATATATTTAAAAAACTATTTTTTTATAAAGCTTCGAGCAAATGCAAGGATGCTTCAAATAAATTATAAGCTTTACACTATTCATAGTTGGACTTCTACTCCTTAGGCAAGGTTTTAATCTCAACCTCAAAAAGGCAGTAATGATCTGAAGATAGACATTCCTTAACCTTTGATTTTAGTACACACAGCATTCGTCGCCTCCCAATAAAGTCATAATTAATCCCAGGGGGATTCGATTCAACCTCTTCAACAGAGATTAACATCATCAAGCAATATTATGATAATTAATCTTAGATAAGTCAAACATCATAAGAGGATATCAACTAAATCTTAAATTCTTGATTAAAAAATACATAATCTTTATTATGTCTCAATCAATGGATAATTAACCCTAGGGGGATTCGATCCGACCTCTTTCATACATGTTAATGTCATCGAGCAATACTCTAATAAATAACTTCAGATAGGTCAAATTATAAGCTTGAGAGGATTCAAAGAATTTCTTAGGAAGTATTTCCACCATACATTACCTGATTAGCTTATTATTCAAACATTTTATAACAGTCTTATATGTTCTTTTAGATCAATTATAGATGCGATAATCATAGGATTTTTTATGACCAAATCCTTTAACGAAGCTTATGCTTTGATTGAAGAAATGACAACAAATAATTTCCAATGGCCATATGGAAGAATAAACCTTAAGATGGCACCTAGTGTATATGAATCAAATGCCTTTATCAATTTTAACTGCACATATAGTTGCTATATCTAATAGTCTTGACAAAATTTGAGTTAATTCTTCCCAAAGTATGCCTTTATTATTATAAGAGAGTATGTTTGGATCCTTTAGTGACTGAAATGCATCAGGGATTGAATCATTAAATGCCATCAATAAGCATCATAATAACCCTTTCTTTAATATATATATAACCAGGTTGTCAAAATCATCCTAAATTTAATTGGAGTAATAATCAAAATGGGAGTACTTAATAATTAGAATTCGAGCCAACCCAATCAAGAAGGAAAATGGAACCCACCTCCTCAAAATTATGGAAACCTAAGGCATAACTATTCACCTAGATTTAACTCAAATAATCCAAATAAAGATAAAATACCAACATTAAAAGATCATATTTTCTAAATGACTACTTAATTACAAAGTCAAGCTGCTGCACTAAGAAATATTAAAAAATTAATTATAGTAGTTAGCTAGCTATTTGAACAATAGACCCCATAAAACCTTGGCTAGTAATAAAAAAATAAATCCTAGAATAAATTTAAGGAATATTACAAAGCTTTTCAATTGAGGAGTTGAAGAGGGTTAGAGGAAGTGGTTAGGAAGGAGGAGAAGCTTGTGGAAGAAATTATTATGGAAGCACATATAGAGCTTACTAAGACTTAGGAATATTCTAAACCCACTAAAAGGCTTAATAGTCTGAGTCAACTCCTAGTGCTATTTCATATTTGTAATTTCTTTGAGCTTATGGAGAGAGCTCATCTGATAGAGAATGACCTGATGGCTATTTATTAGTGGTAGACTACTAGTATTAAAAGGTTTAGTGGTGAGACTTCTAACAATGGCTTTTATGGGAAGAAGAATAGGTTTACTCTTGGAGATTCTAAAAGAGGTGGATGGTCAGCATTTATAGTAGTCTATGGCAAAGACAAATAACTAATATTGGTTTTATTAGTGGGGAACTTATGTTCTAGAGTTATGAAATACGTCATTCTAGTCAGTGTTATAGGATAAATGGTCAGTGCACCATATGCAGCCAAATAGGGCATCAGGTAGTAGAGTGTCTACAAGAAGAATTTGATTAAATTTTTTAAATCAAGATCATAGAGCTGGTGGTTTAGGTTTAATTGCAAGGAGTCCATTTAGCATTTGTCAAAAAGAGCCTAGCAATTCTGTTGCTTCAGCTTTAGTTAGTTACATGTATATAGTTTAACTCAGTAGGATGCTCTAGATGTTGTGAAAGGTATAGTTTAAACTTTTGAGCATCCATATCATATTTTATTTGATTTTAGAGT